CTCTGAGATGCAAACTGCTTAGCAAATATTATCTTGTTGGTGCCTTTTTACTGCTCTTCAATAAGGTGACCTGACATTTTTTGGTGTGGTTTTTCTCTGCTTTATTTTTATGTTTAAACACATCAGCAGGACCAGGTCTTGGCTTCTCTTATCTTGCTGGAACACTGGAGTTGCACAGGGATATCGCAGTAGGCTGGAACCTTAAGTCTTCTCATTCCTCTTCCACTCAATTTAGGGCTCAGAAAGCGGTAACTCAGTTTCAGTATATTGTGATGTCACTATTTCCCTGCAGTTCTTCCGCCCTCCAGCAGAAATAGGGAAGTCAAGACCTTATACCTCTGATGTGGAAAAAATAAGCAGGGGAAAAAATGAGTCAATCTTCATACATCATAAAGACAGTTTAACACCTACCAGTGCCATGTGGACACTTATTCTGGTATAAGAGTGTCCACACGAGGATTTATACCAGTGTAACTATCCTTGTTTAATTATGCCAGTGTAAGTAGTACAATTTTCCTGTGTAGACAAACCCTAAGAGTGTCCACCAGTGGGAAAGCACTGATTTAAATAAATTAATTTAAAAACTGATTTTAATTAAACCTGACAACGTTTGTGCAGAACCAAGACTGTAGAAACTCTACCCGCTATTTAGTCTGGAGATGCCCCCACTTACATCAGGCCTTTTTGATGCCACCAATTTTTTGATCCTTCAGTTCAAAATTAAAAATATGCAGAATGCGACAAAACCATGCAGATAGCACCACAATCACAGAATTTGCAACCTTTTTTCATGTGTGTGTAATGCTGATCCTCACATGGGTGTCGGCAGCGGGGATCAAACCTGGGAACTCTGGAGCTAAATGCATGAGTTGCTAGTGCATGAGCTAAAAGACACCTCTCTATTAGCCGAGGCCAGTGATTCCCAGCCAATTAACCATTGTGAGCCACATATGCCGCTATGTGCACCGCATCCACACAATATATATACTACCTGTATGGCCCTGAGGGTGTCACATGGACTGAGCTGTGTGCTGATTGGGCCATGGGTGGAGAACCACTGGCCAAAGCTGTAGCAGGCTTATGAATCTCCAAGGGGCCTAGCCACCACCAGAGGGGGACAGAGTACCACTTCCAGCAAACAGGAGTTACATGTGCAATTATTTCATCTGCATTGTTAAGGCAGTACAGCATTTTAAGAGAATCTTGCTGTACATATTTCAGAAAGACACCACCTCCCTCATACAAATAGCCCCTGCAGCCTGAGAGCAATAGCTACGTCTGGGCAGGGAGAACACACACCGTGGTGTTACAATGGTTTTAATAAGGGTTTGCTAGTATTGTAGCAGATGCTACTGACCACAAAATGGGGGAGTCCACATATAACTTTTAAAATGATTTTTCCTACCTCAAACTAATCAGAGGCATTAGGTTCAATAAGGCATCTTAAACATATCACAGGCTTTTTACAATAGCAAAAGTATTTTTTAACTCTCATTTGACTAAAAAAATCAATGGAAGGAATTTTGTTTGACCAGCCCACTGCCATCAGAAAATATCCCTGTCTTTCAGAAACCAAGTAGGATAATTACCAGCTTGGCAACAGGGAACTACAGGCAGCAGTGCTAATCGCCAAGTAGACACCTTAGGCCTGCAGCTGCTTGGCTCTACCACATTTAAAGGGCCAGCCCCCAGAAAGGCACTTTGGGGAAGAGTTCCTACAGCAGGGCAGACCTACATTTGGGAGTAAGAATTGTTGACAAAGACATTGCCTTGCTGGTGGGTCTCTCCCCACTGTATTACAAGCGTATATTGGGAAATTATGTCTGTGACTAGAAGTTATAGTGAAAACTATTTTGCAGTCTTAACTCTAACTAGGGTGACCAGACGTCCCGATTTTATCGGGACCGTCCCGATATTTCCTTGTTTGTCCCGCGTCCCGACCGACGTGCGGTCGGGACAACCGGACAAACAAGGAAATGCCCCGGAGCCTAGAGCCCGGAAGTGCTCGCGCCCCCCCCCCTGCCCCGACTCCGCCCCCTCCTCCCCCGATTGGCTCCCTCCCCGAATCCCCGCCTCTTCCCCGGGCTCACCATTCCCCCTCCTTCCGCAAGCGCTGGAGGGAGGCCCGGGAGACGCAGGGGAAGCGCGGGGCCGGGGTGAGTAAGAGTCCGGCCTGGTCCCTTGCAGGCAGGACTCAGTTGGGTGGTAGGGAGAGGAGGGGGGCGGCCCGCGGGGCCAGGCGGCGGCTGTTGTTGTCCCCCCGGGCAGCGGGA